GTCATTTACTTGTGATTATCTAGCCCTTATAGTGGCCCGGCACTACTGTTATTGGCTAAATGACTAGATGCACACTCGCCTTGACCAAGCGCTCGGACCATTGCACTGGCCCTTATCTACTGTTCCAAAAATCCAATCAGAAACTGTATAGCACTTCATACGAAAAAAAATCTTTATTTCTACCTGTTGCTATCGGATGTTTCAACCTGTTGCTATTGAACTAGTGAATTCACGATACATACAACGGCTCTAAAGTCTAAACTTCTATCCGAACACAACCATTCTTCTCCTTATATTCTTTACTTCAATTTCGGGTAGGCGCTAATTCGCAAGAAGTAAATGAAATGTTTGTCGATTTTATTGAGGTGAGGCATATTTTTTAAGAGGATGTAGATCATTGAAATTCGAAATTCACCAAACATCGGCTCAATGAAAGTTGCATAATAATGGAGATATTATCGATTAAACATTTTATACATTTCAAAAGAGTTTCGATACGGTCCTGGGTGCATATGAATCTCTGTTCAGTGTTCAGTCATTATTTGACAGAAACATTTCATTTGTTTAGCGCTAGTCATCAGATCCTCTTTCTCAATTGTTTTTATATGCATTGTCGAATAATGTCACGATTAGGAGAATAATTAACTTGTTTAAGTGTCGCCAAAGTGCAGCAGCAGGATTATTTCTGTTGAGAAATCATCCGACACCTCAAATGTTCATTAATATCGTGCGAAGGTGTAGTGACACAGGGTGTTCTGGAACACTCGGTGAGGTAAATGTACCAGGGCCGTAACAGCGCAACTATATCGAGGATTTTTTCACCTACGTTATTTTGCAATTTCTTTGTGTTGAATTTTTTGTAATTTTGTTTATTTTGATGGGATCTACATCCTGTTGAGTAAATAATGCCTCACCTTTGGTTGATATTATCTTAAGACGAAGTTGATTCTCATCGAAGATACGCCAACTAAAAGTTATTTTTGTCAGAAAACTGGTAGGTGATGACCAATTATGCTATACAGTTTCCAAATAGAGGTTTTTTTAGACTGATTCCTATTTCATAATTATATGAAATCGATAAACCTTATTCAATCCTAATAGTATAATAAATATTTTCATCAATAAATATTTGCAAAAATACGCCTATGTTCGTCAATATTTTCAGAAACACTATCATACACGAGTTCTAAATTTCATTTTAAACCTTTGGGATTATGCGGATATATCCGAATAAGAAGAACCAAATAAATAATTGACTAGAAATGGGACTAGGGACGTAATGGTGCATCGGGACAAGAAAATGCGACTAGACTTTCGCGGATAACCCGCATCTATATATGTACAGGATGTCCCAAAATCATTCCGAGAATATGGTCTTGAAAATCATAGCATGACTTCGTAGAAACTTGCAAGAGTCATTCGTCGAAGACGATTATTTGTAATTATCACCCCATGTGCATTACGCAAGATTGTTGTTTGGCTGCTAGATATGAAAAAGTGCAGGGTGGTCCAAAGAGTTGTAATTATTTGGTTGCGATGTAGAAAATTTGGTAAGAGAGGTAAAATAGTGGGGTCGGCATTAAACGATAGTCCGGCAGTGTTGCCAACTTGGTGGATTTCACACTAGAACTAGTGGTTTGAGTTTTCGTTTCGTGATAGAATATGGCATCTAGTGGATGGTGTTTATTTTGGTGAATTTTTTCAAAATGGTGAAATCTGTTAGTTGAGGACATGCATACAAAATTCCCCTTGTTTCACGATGTGAAACTAGAGGAAAGTTTCAATTGAAAAACTTTTTTAGCAGAATTCAGTTTCTCACGGTTATGTCCGCACAGTTTCGTTGGTTTTGTACGATCTCAAATGTTTTTTTTTTCTTGATCTATATGTTACATGAACTTGAGTATATGTCATTGATGTTATGGAGGATTTATTTTGTTCGTTTTGTTTCCTGTTTGGAAAAAAAATCCCACCTGATATCTAAATTTTTTTATATGTAGGTATATCGTTTGAGCCAAGATCCGTTGACTTCCATTATCCGGTGTTATCTAGTGATCTAAACTGGAGTTAAAACCACCAGACAATCACAGACCCTCGACGGCTGGGGGGGAAACGTTTATTCAACGTTGAACTAGTTTCCTCAAACTAATAAACCCACTGACAGCTTGGACATTCTTGAACATCGTGCAACTTGTGATGCTGTCGAAATTTATGACGTGCAATAGTGACGCAATTTTTGTTCAAATATTCTACACCGAAACAAAATAGTTCCAACTCTTCGGACCACAAAGCATCTCTCGCTCATGAAACTGGCGTGTTTGTGGTCAATAGCTTCTATAGTTTTCCAACATTTAGTTTGTCTTCTTGTTATCATAGGGTGAAGTAACAAATGAAAACTCCACGCAAATATCCGTCAATCAAGATTTGAAAAGACCGTATATTCACCGAATCGTTGGCTCATCCTGTATAACTCTGACTTAATCTACGTAGATTTAATAATACTAGTTTATTTGCACGAATTCGTTGTTTTCGAAACGTTGCTTCCGTTCGTTGAGAACATTGAAAATGTCGTAGCAGTTGCCAGGAAAGTCTGAATAGAATCAATATGGCGATTCGAACGCAGATTGTATGGGAATAATGATAGGTAGTTCATTGACGAAATAAACCTCCTCACTCTTCAAGTCTTCAATTGTTTCGTCAGACTGGTTCTTGAATTTCAAGGTAGCTAGAACTTATGATCAACATCAGTTCTACCAATCTTGATGCGGCTAAATCGCAAAATGTATTCCCTTTCTTCTTGTGGTCACAATATGGTCACAATTGTCACATCGATGCCTGTAATTTTGGTACGGCAGTGTTGCCAAATGTAAGGATAAATCCTCATATATGAGGACTTTTTGGGTATTTGAGGATTTTTTAAAAGTGAGGATTTTTGTGAGGATTTTCTGTAAGTGAGGATTTTTTTTAGGGTTCTTCCCTTACACTGAAAACATTACTTCAAATATGGAAAATGTACTGACAGATGATTTAAAAATGCATTTACAGTAGCCTTGATTATATACTCGAAGACAGTAGTAAGAAGGTATGTACGTACGTTGGTACCATTGACACTCATTGTTCAAGACAAGACTTCAAGAGTTAGAAGAAGAAGAAGAAGAGAAGAATTCATTATCGTTAAGTTATGGGGACTGACTGAGTTCAGGTATTTAAGGAGAAGAAGAAGAAAACCCGTTTGAAGTTTGACGTTTGATTCTGGAGTTTCAATTTTAGGAAACAAAAATAAAATGAAAATAAATGGATTCTGAAAGTGTACCAAGCAGACCAAGCTCTCCGGTAGATGGCGCCAGTTATTGTGAATTTTGTAAAATTGAATCTAACAACTATATATAATTTATATAACCGATTCGGCCGTATATATAGATATACGTATTTATAACTTATATCGATATGAATAAATAAATTAATCGTAAAATATGTTTGTGAGGATTTTATGACTAAAAGTGAGGATTTTTTTGAATTCATGGTGAGGATTTTGTGAATGTTGAGTTGGCAACACTGTGGTACGGCACCAGACTGAACTTAGCGAGATTCACTCACGCCATGTTTTGTTTATCGAAGTAGGCGAAAATCAAGGAATTGTAGAACAGGAAAAGATTGAAGAGGTTCATTTCATGAATGGTAGTTCGTTGTAAATTTTTACGATTCCCGATCGTTAGTTGGAGACTTGAGAGTCGTTTTTCGAAGAAAATATCAAAAGTGGAAAGAAGTTGTAGATCAATTTTCTGAGGTTATCTCGATGGACGAATATTTTTTGTTCGCAATAAACTTTAACAGACCATGCGATTCTTGTCAATGATCAAATAACCTGATGATTTATCATCATTCTTACTCCATCAATTTATTCAATCGAATTATCTAGGAAAATATACATACTCTCAATATCAATAATGTAAACCACTGTATATTTTTCAATAATATCTAGTTGGTGAATTTTCGTATTTTTTCGTAAGTTCTCCGAGAAATATTTTCGATTCCCATCAACGGTTCTAATCATCCGGATTGTTTTCATATTGAAATTCCCAACAACTTGAAAATAACCATCTAACAAATGGTGCTAGAGATAAAAACCCCATGGTGGCTTTCTATAAGGTAATGAGAGCTTACAATCTAACCCTAACTTAGTGGACGTGTTGCGATGTGTTATCTCTTTGGAGGGGATATTTACAAGGGGTGTCAGTTCACGAAAAATAAACCACCGCTAATCTAGACGGCATGCCGAGCATAACAGCGTTGCCATTTACGTGACGCGAAAACTTAACCGAGTGGAGAGATAAGGTGACTAGAAAGCTGACTAGACAGAGACCACGACTGTTCACCGACCAAAATAGATTCTCTATTCAACGGAAAACCCTATGCTACGTTTCGAAAAATATAGGTTTGGCAACCGGTCCAACAATACAAACCGGCTGCCACTTTGATTACTTATGAGAGATCTATATGAAAGCCTATTCCGTTTGACGGACATCCCACTACTTATTTACATAAAATGAAGGCCGTGTCTAGAACCACGATAACGTGAATTTTATTTTCAGAATTCCTCCATGCGAAATGCGTCATGAAGGTAGTGACGTCAATTTTTCTCGTGGATTTTTTCCTCTTGATCAACCAACGTTAATTTCGCGTAGAGCATTCTCTTTTGATCAATCCACGCTATTTCACGTGGACAACATCAACTCTGCCACGTTCAATGAAATGAATTAAAGTGATCAATTTCTTTTCGGCGAAGCATTAACTTTTTTCAGTTGATTTTGAGCGCAATTCAACTTTATATATGTATATACATCATTGCACCAAAAAAAATCTTTTATGTGGAAATATATGTTGCCATTAAAAAGAAGATTTGTCCTTCGCTGTCTTTAGATTCGAAATAATTGGAAGAAACTGTTGTATCTGAGTCATGTCATTTGCTTTTTTGTATTCTAAAATCGTTTGATGAATAGCAGCGCGAAATGATCGTGGAAAAATCCACGCGAAATTATCGTGGAACAATCCACGAGAAACGTTGAGCTGTGTTGTTGAGAAAGTAGCACACATATATTGGCACAATATCCGTGCAATGTTGAGAAAATATCGGCAAAATATTGTCAACGTAATATTGGCGAGGAGCAAAATGTGAAAATTCGGCTATATTGGTACAATATTAGTTTCAACATGTGGGTAGATTATTGAAAATCAGCATGTTGCAATGTCGTCTTGAAAACATTGGTGAAATATTTTCACACCAATTGTTGAAACAATATATTCAACCAATGTGCCATTGAACTCAAATATACAATTTTGCATAACTGCTTCAGAATCGACAAAAGGAGTGTTATAGTTGTTGAAAACAATATCTCTTCGATGTTGTTGTACCGACATTCGTGAAACAATATTATATGATATTCATATAAATGTTTTTCCACATATTGAAAACGAACTTTCCAACCACTATTGATTCAATATTGTAGCTGACAGTCCACATTTAGCCCAAGTTGAACCAATATTCCACTAATATTATCATTCCGATATTGTCTCTTCAATTTATTCTTATATTGGACCAATATTAGTTCCACATATTCAATATACCGGGTGTATTCGACAAGATAATTGCAAAATTCAAAACCTGCGTTGAATGACATTGAAGTACCTTTCTAATGGCATATAAAAAAATCTATCATATTTGACAGGTATCTGGCTGCTACCCCCCTTTTTATTGTCATTGTAAATTACGTGTCATTCAATTTGGAATAGAACGATAGCGTATACTTGGTATTTTTTTATTGATAACAACAGAAATATCAACATGTGGTGACTTGCTTCGAGTTACTTAATTATCCTTATGAAAATAAAAAAATCGTTTCGCTCATGTTTTCGTTTCAAAAAGCCGATGCTTCTCATATCAACATTATTTTTGTGATTTTCAGTTCATTTTCAGATTCGCATAAAAGATATTTCAGTTGAAATTCATATACCTCATTGAATGTTGCTGGTTTTTTTATAATATAAAAAGTGAGGAATTGCTACCAGAGAACTGTCAAATGTGATAGATTTTTATAAATGAAATGAGGAAGGTTCTTCAATGCCATTCATTGCAGTTTGCTTGTATACGATAACTTGGGACACCTGGTATCTATATCGGCTCTTTTCAAAATCAGGATTCAGTCAATTTGATGTGCTACCAGGGTACCTTGATTTCGTATTTCGCTTGAAGGAATTCTGAGAAAAAGATCCACGGTATAGTGTCGAACTAGACACTACCATAAAACATCTAGTGACCTAGCCCGCGTAAACCCTCACAGGCATCGGAGTTGCAATACTGAGTTCAGGCACCCCATACTCCTCCTTCACATTACCGCCTGGCATCTCTTCCTTGAGACAAGCCGACTCCAGATGCTTGTTGAGGTACGACTTCAAGGCAAAAGTCTTGTGGCACCTTGGGCACTCGAAATTCTTGTCAGCCGAATGGGTCTGCATATGTGCACGCAGATTCGACCTGTCGGCGAAAGCCTTACCGCAATGCGCACAACCGTAAGGCTTCTCCCCTGTGTGGGATCTCAGATGGCCTTGGAGCAACCAAGGCCGCGAGAATTGCTTGCCGCAGACCCCGCAACGGTGTGCCAACTTGTGAGTGAGCACGTGCATCGCTAGCGCAGGCATGCTGACGTAAGCTTTGCCGCAGGTCATGCACTTTTTGGCTGACTGCGAGTCCAGGCTTCTGTGCGTCTGTTTGTGCCTGGACAGGTTGCTGGAGGTGGCGTATTGTTTACCGCACTCACTGCAAGTGTACTTGGGTTTCTCGTTGATTATAGCCTTGGGCGTAAGCGTGGCTGTAGGATCATCGGGATGGCGTTTCTTCGATCTGCCATCGCTCACGAAGAAGGCTTCGTAGGTGTAAGCGACAGTCTTGCCGCCAGGTTTGTCTCCGCCGGGGGTTGATACCCTCAGTGGCTGTTCTTCGTGGTCTTGGTGGACCTCGACTTGAGGTGGTGGTGGTAGGAATACTGTGGTGGACGCACTCAAGTCTAAGATGGCGTGAGCAGCGTGTAGGTCCTCTTCAGCTGGTACCCGAATGGCGTGGGGGAAGAAAGGTGGGGATGGTTTGTCCTCCAGGGAGTAAGGTCTGTAGATGTCTTTCTTTTTCGGCGGTAAACTCAGAGCGGTGCCTGTACTGGTGTAAGTCATGGACAGGGATTTTCTTTGCCTGATAGGCGGTGCATATTCCGGTCTGAGTTCGTGATTTTCTCCCACGTTTTGTAAAGTGACGTAGGATGGATTCGACGCTTCAGATTTCGGCACATAAGTTGTTGTGTAGCTTGAAGGGGGAATTTCTTGAAGATAACCTGCAACAAAGAGACGTTGTTTACTTGCGGATAAACTTGATAATCGCGGAGTTCGGGATGGAAGGCTGAAGCTCATATCGCTGTCGAAAGTTAATTTTGAACTAGTTGAGTTCGCTAGTCGAAATTGTTGCCTCGTGGAGCGAGCACTAAGCTCGAGAGCTTACAGTTGGTCTTTATGGAGATTTGTTTTGCCTCCCTTCGCGAATCGTCTATTATTTACAACGCTGCTGAACGTGAAGATGTAACTAAGTTTCAGTACCAGAATTTCGCAATAGTTATTTGTTGTTGTGCTTGTATCTAATATTTGGGGAAGCCACTCGGATTCATAAATAAGTTTTGGGTTGAATGAGAGAGTTGGGTTGGCGTGACAGATGTAGAATATTACTAACGACACTTTTGGTATAGCAGGAAATGCATTTCTTGAACTATAACTGCTCTCATATTCTTCATACATATTTCATAAACAGGGCGAGCGATGAAGGAATGATATTATATTATTAAAGAAAATGACTGAACTGAAATTTTTACTATACTTATAATTATAATATTTTATAAATACATTCTGTCAGTAGGTATTGCAACATCAAAACGAACAAATGAAAAATATTGGATGGATCATTGAATATGATTGAATGCATAAATTTGAATTTAAAAACGACGGAATAGCGCATAGTGGTTGAGCGCTCGATTAGCAATCAGAACACCGAAAGGTTGCTTGGTTCGATCTCCGGCAGAGCCGATAATGGGCGAGTGGACTGATAATGAAATATTGGCATTCAATTAATTACTCCACTGTTTCGTTAAAAAGCTAAAGAATTCATGAATTATTAAATAACAAATATTCCTGAAGTTCCCAATCGTGTTTTAGTTACATGAGCGATTCTGGCCATGGAAGAAGAAAAGCTTCACCATCACTTTGATCATTCTCGAGAGAAGGGCTCAATACTTTGCAATTCCCGTTTTGTAAGAACAACATTTCAGTAAGTCTTGACTTAGATATTGTACGATTCACTTTCCAATGAAATATTTTTTTTGAAAACCACATTTGTGGTCCGAGTCTCAAAAGTCCAGTTCCAGTTAACAGTGCTGCTCCTAAGGTGGCGAATGGAGTTGGTAACACAGCCTACACATAACACTCGTGGGCTGAAGGACCTCTCGTGAAGTTGATTGTCAGTTGGTATGTACAGGGTGGTCCAAATTGGACACTTTTCTGGTTTCATTTAGGAGTTACAAGGTGTTTTTCGAAAATAGGCATTTTTGAAGAGTGGCTACAGATATTTTTCTTTGGTAAAAGTTTCCTGTTTTCATAAAAATAACTGCGAAGCGTTGAGTTTGTGATAAAAATCGTTTTCGAGGCACTGAAATCGGTCTTTATATATCTAGTTCAAGAATATAACTTGTTCTCCTTGAAAGAAAAGTTCTATTGGGCAACTAGGTATACGGTGACTTATTTCAGTATCTGAGGATTAATTTTCATTACAAACACAATGCTTCAGAAATGTTTTTATGGAAACGAAGAATTTTTGACAAAAAAAAGAGTTTTAGCCACTTTTCGAAAATTCCCTTTTTTTGAAATCACTTTGTAACTCAAAAATTCAGATTGATATCGATATGCGGTTCTCACCTTCGAGTTCATCATGTGATTTGATCAACAGGCATCGACATCAGTTTTTTTTCTATCTTGTACGGGAATAGGACTTTCCCTTAAAAAGTGAGCAATTTGACCACCCTGTACATACACCTACTTCTACTACATATACCTACTACAACTACTACTACTGAATTTGAAATAATTTAATGTTCAATTTCTTTGCTCTGAATAAATAATCTTACCCCCTGAGGGTGCCGCTACTGATGTACCACGAAAAGACACGAGCTGATTCAGCATTGTTATTTTGACCAAGTTAAAGTTTCCTACCATTTTCCGACACTTCGACTTACATATGGCAAAACTTTAATGCAGATAGGTAATTGAATTGACGCTGTGTTTCCCATTTGTATTCCGAAGGAACTCACGTCTAATTGGAACATCCACAGACGAGAAGAATAAATAATATTATGTATCATGGGAGACAGCTTATACCTAGTTGCTTTTTATTCATTTTAGAACCCAATTTGTCAATGAGAAAATTTTCACATGATATGGACTGTGAATTCTTTGCGGTAGTAAACACTCTCAACGGTTGCCGGAAATATGATCGAACTTCATAAGTAATTTTCCAAAATATGGTTCATTTAGACCGAGTCAGATTAGATTGTTCAAGAAAAGTAGTCTCATTTTTTATGCTTATGCAGAAGATATTTTCCTTCCTCAACCTTCCGGCAAACAGTGTAACGGCTGAAAACGAATACGTGAAATGACTAAGCATTTCAGGGAATGAATATAATTCGATCATTTGATATTTCGATCAAATGATATTTCGATCATTTGATTTTTCGATCATTTAATTTTTCGATCAATTGATTTTCGATAAAATGATGTTCGATCAAGTGATTTCGATCAAATAGTTTTCGATCGCAGCCTACAAAGTGTCGATATATCATCGAATTCATATCACAGCCAACTTATTCTTTTTGAATAAAAATCAATTCAACACCGAATTAAGAAATAATTGCCACTTTGTGATACATGGTTGGATAGAGAATTTCAAAGCGAAAAAGATATACTGAAGAAATGTACAGGGTGACTTTAAAAAAAAAAAGTTGGGTTCACTTCCGGTCAAACAGGTAGTTGAAAAAAATTGTCGTTAAGTTCGTAAAGTGCGCTACCATTTATTATATACCCCCTGTGAATTTCAAAATGTTATCTCTTCAAATAAAGAAACTACAGGCTTCTACATGTCTCCTGTCATCCGGTATAGAGGAATTCTTGCGTATTCCTGAATTTACTCTAGTCACTTGCTATCAGAAAATATTCCTCTATCTGCGCCCATGGACAAAGTATCACGTATGCCTTGAATAGCTAAACAAGCCCCGTACCGGATATTAACTTTCTTTTTATCAAGTTACCGCGATGATATGGGGTACTTTTAATGGGTCCATGGTGCGCTCCCTTTTCTCTGCCCAGCTGTTGTGATGTATCCGATTTAATTAAAAGGGGGCCGCCCCGTTTTACAGCTACAGCTGTTGTAAGAGCCACTACACGTCATGAATATCTCGACAGGGGAAGAAAAGGTTACTTTTAACGCGGAAATGCAGGTTTATCGCTCCTGGTGGAAAAACGACGATGATCAACAGTTTGAGGGACTTTTTACGAAGTGTCGGTCTCCTGAATGCAAATAGTGCTATTTCATTTATGTTCCAGCATTAAAACGACGCATGCAGTGTTCTGCGGAGTTACACGAGTCTTGGACTCAGAAACTTGTCCCAAGAAAGCCTCCAATACCTAGGCCCAAAAGCCTTCAATATCCTACCAGAAATACTACAAAATGCAAACAGCTTATATTTATACAGAACACCCCAATTGAAATAATACACTCTATAATTGAAAGTAAATGAATCAAACGAAATGAAATTAATATATAGATACCGAAGAAATAACTCATCTTCCATTCAATTTAATTTTGAATTCTTTATGTTATCTCATTTTTTAATGATGCAACCAGCGAGACACGTATAAGTGATATTGGTTGTAGATGTGTTCAGTCCATTGCTTACTAACCTTTGTTTCATGTTTATTGTCATGCTTAGCGCAGAATTTAGTATATTATGTAACAAGTGTTATAAACGTCCTTTTAGTAACGAGTAGTTTAAGCACGAGCGGAGCAGAATGGAGCGAGTATTTAATAAACGAGTGTCTAGAAGAGTTTATAAACGCGTTACATACTATTATTTTTCTACGAACTACAAAAATTACATTAATTAACATACCTACTATTCCTGCTAACCTACAAAATAATTCGAAAGAAATGGGAATTGAAAACATAATACATACAACTGCATGCAACCAGCGAGGCACGTATAAGTGATTTTGGTTGTAGATATGTCCAGTCCATTGCTTACTAACCTTTGTTTCACGTTTATTGTCATGCTTAGCGCTGAATAAATAAATTGTTCTCAAAGATGGATGCTTCATTTTAACACTTCTTGGAGGCATGTGAGTACCTGAACATTCTCTTCGATTTCACTCTCGTCTACTTTTCGCATATATTTTTAATGAAGAATTCCGATACGAACGAATATTTGTTGAATAATTCTGATACAAAATATGAAAATAACAGTTGACAGTTGATACAATTGACAGGCCAGACATGTCTCGAATTACTGAAGCTGTGTTTAATGAACTGCGTTGCCATGGTGATGTGTTTAAGAAATCGTGTTGCCATGGTAACGTGTTTAATATTTTGAATAAATCACAGATCGACAATCCGTGATTAATCGATCATTTAGCGTGGTACATATCCGTACGATAAATGCCATTTTAGTTATGTGAGTAGAAAAAATAAATTTTTCTTAAAGATGGATGCTTCATTTTCACACTTCTTGGAGATATGCAAGTACCAGAACATTCTCTTCGATTTCAGTTTCGTATACATTTCGCATATATTTTTAATGAAGAATTGTGATACAAACGAATATTGTTTGAATAATTCTGATACAAAATATGAAAATAACAGTTGACAGTTAATACAATTGACAGGCCAGACATGTCTCAAATTACTGATGTTGTGTTTAATGAACTACGTTGCCATGGTAATGTGTTTAAGAAATCGTGTTGCCATAGTAACGTGTTTAATATTTCGAATAAATCACAGATCGACAATCCGTGCTTAATCGATCATTCAGCGTGGTACGATAAATGCCATTTTAGTTATGTGAGTAGAAAAAGTAAATTCTTGATCAACTACACTATATTAAAATTATCACTAATTCTTCTTGGGTATCTAATTGCCAGTGGTCATCTAACAATGACTTTGTAGGTCAAAATCCTTCCATGGATTGTTTGAGAACAACAATATCTTGTATTCCCAAATTTCGTTGAATTGAATCTGTGGTTTAAA